ATCAAGACACAGTGTTGGCGGTGCGGCAACTCCCAGGAAACACTCGGCGCTGTGTATTGATCTCCCGCGATCAAATACTGTACTGACTGGTTCCCCTTTGATCAAGGGGGAACCGAGTCCTAATCTACCCAAACAAGAAAATCCTAGAACATGCATTCTATGCACACACTTCATGCACTGTCCGGGACTTGGTTGCCTTCGATCTCACCGGTCTGTCCCGCATCCCCGAAGCCGTTGCCGCCGTCCAGGGTGCTCCCTCCTAAGAGGGTCCTCTGGTGAATGTTGCGTACTCTTGGCCCTGGGCAGACCCATCCTGATCAGTCGCATGCAACAGATGGGCGGCGTCGACTACCTCCCTGAGTCGACGGAGGGCAATTCATGTCCAAGAGATTGGGCCACACTCTTGGGACGAATCGGCCGCCCGTTGTCATACGTAGCCGCCACTAGCAGGTGTGCGAGGTTGATGATCGACAACTGCACGGCGGACATTGTTTGCTGTAGACTTTGAAGGATGATAAAAAATCGTGTTTTTTCGATGTTTCTGACGCCCTCTGGTGTCGTGGACACTGATTGTCTCACAGAGCAAGGAGGAATCACTGCTCCCCATTGCAGCGTGACTCCCGACGGGATTCCGATCTCGTAGAATCTGGGTTGGTACCTTTGCCATTCTCGTAGATTCTGGGTTGGTACCATTCCTATATTCATTTGGAGACTGCGTGGGTTGGTACTTGGGTTGGTACTTGGGTTGGTACTAACTAAAATCAATCTACTCACACAAAAGGCAATACTAGTACACCCCTCCCGATAGCATGTAACATTGGTTTGCCAGCAGCGAAAACGTTACCCACTAGTTTTTCCAAATTGTATGACTTGCTCAGGAAGACAGAACAAAAATCGAGAGAAGTAACCCATATATCAATGCAAAATAATATATGATTGTACGAGACAAAAAGATTGGCCGATTCACTCTCTCGACGGGAGGCCATTTGACGAGCAAGCTGATCTACCAGCAAGTGACTCCGCGAAGAATCTGTGGTGTTCGCAGCCGAGAAGAGGCTGACCATGATACTGCGAAAGATTGCCGATGGGGAAGAAATGCCTTGTGTCTTTTTAATATAAATTGAACTTGCCAAAAAATAAACAGTTTTCAATCTCTCGTCCACGAAGGCTTTGGTCTCAGTGACGGTTTGGATTAATGGAAGTATTAACTAGTTGTGAATGTACTAGTAGTACTTTGAGCTAGGTCGCAAGCACTCACAGTCAATGCAGTAGAAATCCCAATATTTTGACTAACGTTAATTACAACGTACTAGTAGTCCTCTTCAGCTGAAAAAGTTCAATGTAATATATTTTCCAGCAAAATCCAACGTCGAAATAGTGTTATCTTATACAAATTTCAAGAGATTTCTCATGTTCCACGGGGGAAGGATTTCCGTCGTTCCCTGTAACATTAACAAGCCCGATAACAACTACAGGGTACTGTATTCGCCGCCTCCTTTAGCGCATGCGAAAAGCTCAGCAAATAATCTGATAAATCTAATACTTTTTCCTAACGTCGTTGATTTGCAATAGTACAAGCCGTATTTCGAAGTTGGTCATCATGTTTTTATCACAGGCGAACCGTTCCGTCGTAGAAATACATAGAGAGCAGAAATTATGTTGGAAAATTACATATATGTGTATGTGATTTCATCATCACAATTCATGCGTGAAGCCTTTTTGTGAGGCATGCAGTGCGGTAGTAGAATACACGTCGGTCGATTAAATTGATCAGAGAAGGGCACGGAAGTACGGATCGGCTGCAAAATACTTCTCGGCACTTTCGGTGCTGCCAAACAGTTTGAACGAGCTCTTGTCCTTCTTGATTTCGACAAGCCCTTCTGCAGCCAGCGCGTCGAGCATCTGGTTGAATTCGCCCATCGAAATCAGCTGGGACATACTCATGCATTTTCGCCCGACTTCGCAATATTTGTCGTACACAGTGTTTGTGTTGTACACACCTGGTCGATCGGTTTGGACCTGCAACGCTGCGAACAGGACAAGCTACAAACCACAAAAAATCAGTGAATAATCATTCCTTAGTTCGATCAACTTGATGTACCTTTGTCAAGCGAGGTTGCTGCTGCCATTTGGACGCGTTCGATGAGGTCAGATATAACTTCATAACGGCAACCATGTCGGCCATTGTAACAGGAGTCAACACGTCTCGCATTTGCTGCTGCATCAAGCACGAGCGGCATATGCTCAATGCCTTGCGAATGTCACCGTCGGTAGAAGCGACTTTTCGCGCCAAGTACGTCAATGCCATGACGTCAATCACGGGCATCGGTGTCAGCGAGTCTGTCAACACGCGTTGCTTGAGAATGTCCGAGATTGCATCGTGCGAATAAGCGCCAAACACGACAGAGAGAGGTTTGCAGTCCTGGCTCTTCAGCAATGGCAGGTGGCGCTGGGTCAAGTCGATCGAGTTTGCAATGCCGACAAAAATCACAGACGAAAACGGATGATGAGCCCATTCAAAGAGGCGGTACAAGTCGCGCTCGCCTTTGCCTTGGAGGAGGACATCAATTTCATCCAGAATCAAAAACCTAATGCCACAGTCAGTCAACAGCAAAATCAATCAAGTCAGAACGAACGTTGTAGAATTCTGGGACTTGAATGCCAGCTCAAGTGCCGCGGTGGCTTCTTCCGCAGTCGAATAATCTTGGTTTGTCACTTGGGCAGCAATCGACTTGTAGACACTACCAGCGTTTCCCAATTGCATCGCGTTGAGGTTGACCACTTGGAGAGATGTGTCGCATGAAGATTCTTTCCACGCCAATACGACATGTTGTTCCATCAATTTCATGAGAGCCGACTTTCCGCTACCAGGCGCACCAGACACGAAGACGCTCTTGCGTTGCCCAGTGGTGATGCAACGATCAAAAAAGTTCACCAGCTCCCGCCATTCGTTCGTGCGATGGAGAAGCGGCGATTTCGTCGTGTACCCAGAGCTAAGATTGTGCAAGACCCGTTCGAATTCCAATTGCATCACGGTCTTCTTCTTTGAAGGCGACACTTCTGTTTGCGCTGGCTTCGAAGCAGCAGCAGCAGTCGATGGCGACGGGGTAAAGTCCTGCTGAACGTTGCGCGCCACAACCTTATCTGACGACTTGAGAGTAGATTCTAATATACCCGTGAGCAATATTTAAGATGTCATTGATGTACCGTCAGGAGACATAAATCCAGCCACTGGTGGGGCCTTGGCGACCGCAGGGCGTGTCATCCGAATCTAGTTTACAAATCCATTAACAAAGCAACTATTAATTGCACGGTACCTCGTTGGACGGAGTTTGGGCGACTTCTGAAGGCTCTCCTTCGACAACGGAAACTTCATCATCATCCTTCTGCGCTTCATCGTTTTGCATGTCGTCGCTGTCGCTAGAGTCATGAACTTCGACGACGTTGTTCTTCTTGTGATTGTTGATGAGGGTTTCAACGTCATGCATCTGCAGTTCCTCTTTTGTGTATCGTTTGCCGTTGGGGCAACAGTACATGTACATGCCATCCATTTCCTGCGGCGCCACCTTTGTCCACCCTTTTTCTTCCAAACGACGCCACATACGGCAAAACAGACCTGGCGGTGGGGGACTCGCCACATCATCAACCCTTTCGTTGGCCAGTGAGCTGCCAATGTCGCTGGGTTCCGATCCAGATGACGACTGGGACGATGGCGACGACAAACCAGCTTGGGCGGCTTCGTGTTGGCGCATCAGCTTTGCTTCAATTTTTTTCCACTCGCCAGATGTTCTTAAGTGTTTTTCCATGTCAGCTTCGCTTTGGTAGTATGTCTTATTGAGAATTTTGTCGGCCTCGGTCTTAACGTTTGGGCGGTAGTAGTCATAACCAAATTGACCAGGGCGATGCGACCACCCCTTGGTTTGGAGAAATTTGTACACGTTGCCAAACTTGACTTCGAACGCAGGAATACCAGCCACAGGTTGGGAATTCTCTTCGAGCCACCACGACTTCTTGGCCTTTCGACACCATTTCTTTTGAAGGTCTTCTTCACTTTCGTCGTCGACGACAACTTGGACTTTAGACTTAGGCTTCTGGACAATCCGCTCCTTCTCCGACTGGTCTTCGTCGCTTGACATGTCAAGTACGGCAAAGTTGTCTTTCAGCGGGGACAATCCTTTGTCTGCACGGATTTTCGCTCGAATGAAAGCCATCAGCTCTGAGTTGTTGCGGACGTATAATTCAAACTGTTCCTTGGATCGGAAGAAGTCGACGTTCTCGTCACCGGAAAAAATCTTGCCCTTGTTGCCGAGTACTACATGGGGTTTGCAATACACATAATCGAACTTGCCTTGCACCCACTTCCACCCAACTGACTTCAAGACACGCTCGATCACGCCAAATCCGATAGACTCGGGAATGCTTGCCCTGTGGGAAGTGGCTTTAACTGGTTTATTCGATGCCTTCGGCGACGAGTACGAGAGGCGTTTTTTCGACTTGAGGGCCTTGGTTTTCTTGATGATAGGTTCATCGTCGTTATCGGACTCGCTGTCCAACTTCGTCGGTTTCGATATCTTGGCTGGTTCTTTTGTAGCAACAGCAGCTTTAGCTGTGTGTACAAGGGGTTTCGCGCTGTTTTCTTTGTTTTGCTCGGGAGTTGGGGCGCCGTGAAGCTTGATCAAGCGCTCGATTTCTGACAACTTGTTGGATGTAACCAAATATTCCATCACATCTTCTTCTGTACCAAATGTCAGGCCATCGGGAGAATAAAAATCGAAACCAAACTTGCCAGGCTTGCACTTCCACAAAAAGTCCTTGGACAAGACGTCCCAGACAAACCCCCACGGATACGCCGACGTCGCCGTTCGCCGGTGGGCGGGTTGCTCCACAACGGGGGGAAACACGGACTGGGCCGGCATTTTTCGCTTCAGCGTTTTTCTCGGGGCAATTTGCACAGCTGCTTCCTTTATATCCACAATGTCATTGGTGGGAGGGCGCGCTGTAGCAAGAGGTTTCGCTGAAGTAGTTGCGGAGTGTGAAACGCTGCCAGTTGGTGCTGGCGCGATCCCCATAGGCTTCGAATACTTGATTGGCGAAGAGTCGGGAATCCGCCGGCAAAATCGAATGACCGCATCCTTCTTCGAGGCAAACATTGTTTCGCCAGTCTTTAGATGATCAAAGTGCTCGACTTGGGGTGTCACGAAGAAAGTCAGATTTCGTATAACCATGATTGAGCACTGTTTGCGTTCTTCCATTTGGATCCACATGGAATCCCATAAGGCAGCGGCTGTAGAACAGCTTCTGGAAGCGTAATACTCGACGGCCTTCTTCAAAGCAAGCCGTTTGGATTGAAACACGGTGGACCCAACCTCAAAGTTCGAAAAGTCCATGGAGGGGATAGAATATAGCAACTTGTCGCCAAATGTTGACAAGCCCCAACCATCGGCTTCGAGCATGTCCCACAGTACTTCAAAGATGGCGTTCCAATCAATGGTATCGCCTTCTCCATTGTCGGCAGGAAGTGAATACGTTGAGTCTTGAATAATGAAACGGACAAGCATTTCCATCGCGCAGAGTTTAGTTGGGGCATCTGCGAACTGGAGTGCTTCATTGAACGCCATGGTCAAGAGTGGGTCCATAGTGTCACGTTCGGTTCTTTGCGCGAATGGTTCCAAATTTGCTCGGCTCTTTGGCATAATGGCAAGGTGAAAAACTTCATCGGGGCGTGTGGCAGGCTGACCGGTGCACCGGCCAAAGTAGAAGAGCACACAGTCCTCGACGTCCAACACTGGTTTGAGCTTCTCAAGTGGCGTCACGTCCACCATCCAGTCCCGCGCGCTTTGATAGCTGTCGAATACGAGAGCAGGCCACTTAGCGCCACCGCAAATGCCATCGACAGTGGTTGCCATGCGCAGCATTGTCGGCCATTCCCTCGACATGTTTAAACTTGTGAAATGGCGGTACTTGAGACTACGTTGCGCGCGCAATCGAGTCGAATTAAGTACGCGGCTTTGCCGTGTTGAGTACGTTTTTGTAAGACTCCCGCCAAGAGGCATATACAAATCTTAAGATTGTTTTGTGTCAATTAAATGCGATATAGAATGCACCAATTGGTCGAACCGTTGAAAATTCCTCAGACTTTTGAAATCCCGAGTTGTGGAAATTTGAAAACTACTGACAAATTACTCTGACGCATCCCTTCCTGAGGACATTTCAAACGTGTTCATTTTCAACAGATCAACCTCAAGAGCTCCAGGTGTTTGGCCAGGGCGACCCAAGGACTCTTTTCTGCATCCTTTCGACCGGTGGTGCGTGAAGGAATCGTTAACGATGTGGTGGTAGGCTCGTCCTTTGGAAGTCAACCATCGCACGTCCTTTGGGGAAGTCAACCATCACAACCATAGTTCCATTGTGTCGTTTCAAGTAAGTGGGGCAGTCTCGATGGCCTGGTAACGTTCACTTGACGACACAATATAGTCGAAACTCCCTTTCCTTTGGTCTGGCCATCGCACATGGCGGCATCTCCAGCTGCCCCACCGCGACACCAGATCGACATTGTCGTCAAAGTGAAAAGGACACGGTGGCACCAAGTTATCCATGTCGCTGGGGTCGTGTACATGGTCGGGACGGTCGTCATGAGTGTCTATGCATGGTTTGTCTATGGCACCTACCTGGCAAACGACATTTTCTTGCCGCGCTTTCGAGACGCCGGCATGCAAAGCGCGCTCATCGACCTCTTCAACACAGCCCTGATCACAGCCAACACGGCGCCATTCGACATCACAGATTTGTCTCTAGCAATTCAAAAGTCGTACGCAGGAACATTGACACCTCCCGAACCGATCTACCCCACGTACACACGCGGTCTGTTGTTCAGCGACGACCGGCCCATCGAAACCTCCATCTTGAGTCTGAGGAACCTCACCCTCGACGAAATCTCGATCGTGTCGACCATGTACTGCTGGATGGACTTCAAGCGGCTGTGGGAGCTCGCCCACAGCGACCAGCGGCAGAAGCGGTGTCTGCTCCAGAAAAAACGCAATGCTGCCGCATACTTTGAAGCGCTCATGCGCAACACCAACTTTCACGCGATCGAGTCGCTTAGCGAAGGTGCGTTCGCCATTGCGTACTTCAACGAGATATCGCGGACAGCGATCGGCGCGGCGTGGGTGTACTACATTCGCGCGCATACATGGGTGCCGCTGGCTGACGAAGTGGGGGTGTGGAACCAGTACAAACTCAACCGGTTCACGATGCAGTGGTCAAACCAAATCCAGTCTGGCCTGGACGAATCGATTGTGGTCACGAATGCAGTCGGGTTCGTCAGTCGCGTGCGTGTCAAGAGCATGGCGAAGAAGGCGCTGACTGTCTTGAGTTCGTCAGGGATGCTGTCGAGTACGACTGCCAACGACTACATGGCCGTCCGCGAGTCGCAAAGGAGCCTCGTTCGCAGCAGCAGTGTGTTTTTTGGCAAATCACCGAACCCCCTCTTGATCGACAACTACCTTGGCCCCCCCGTGAACTCGGTCACTAAGGCTATCCGAGATCAGTGGGGGGCGTTTGGGAACTTTGACCTGGAATACGTCTCGCCGCCGCCGAGTTTGACCAAGTTTGTGGGCCAATTTCGAGCCGCGGTGATCGCATTTCTTCGTCGTAACCCTCAAGTCATCACCCAGTGGAATTGCACCCCTTCATTGCACCCCACGCCTGTCAAGTGGGCGAACGCTTCGCTCCAGTTTTACGGCGGCAACCCTCTCTGCCTCAATGGCGTTTCCCAGCCGTACATCCAGTCGTCGTTTGGTTTTGATTCAGCGTGCACGCAGCAAACTCCCTACGCAATCGACTGGTCCCTCGACAAAAACTTGTTTGCCATTGCGATCTTAGGAGACGACGTCGCGTCGAGCATGTGCGAGCTCGTCCCATCGGAAGAACAATCGTCGTGCGCGAAGATGGTCGCGACAGCGCATCAAGCGTTCGTGCTGTTTCAAGACGACATTGCAACGTTCGCTGACGATGCCTCGACCTTGGTGCGGCAAATTCAAGCGTTAGAGATTTCGACAATGCAGTTTGTGCAACGACCGGGCGCCAACTCGACAGTCGTTGTTGAAACGCAGCCAGTGCATGACTTTGGCGATGCGTGGAGTACATTTGGATGGATGAGCGTGTTTCAATGGGCCCAGGGCGAGCGCGAAGTCGTCGCATTCCAAAACGACCTGCTCGAACTCACCTTGATTTCATACGCGTACCGCCCCATCTACATCCACTCGAACCAGAACGACGTTGGCCATAAATTCGGCGTGACCTTGTTCGTCGCGTCTGGCGTCGTCACGTTGGCGCTGTGCCTCGTCATGATGCTGGTTCTGGTGGTATGGCTGCGGCGCGGTCGCCACTTTGTCGGACGCAACTGGTTTGTGTTCAATCGGGTCGCTGGAACCGTGTGGATCGGACGGCCGTTGCTCGTGCTGCGCGGCGTCGTCGCCATGATGTGCCTTGCTACCGCACCTGTCGAACTTGGCAGTGACGGCAACATGAGCGTTTTTCAAGTTGTGCCTCGAAATATCATTGACTCGATGGTGCTTGCCGGGGAAACGACATGGATAGCTTACGTCTGTTACGACTTGATTGACCCAATCGTGCGGCACGAATCGATTCGTCGGTTCGCGCCATTGAGCAGCTTCCTCGCGTGGATGATCACGCTGGGCTTGGACGTGTGGGGACCTCCCACCGTCATCGCGGCCATCGATCGCCAATGCGCTTACTCGTCCATGGGGACTCAAATCGACTGCTCCGCTGGATCGGTTCAGGTTGGGAGCAAGCCCCGAGTCTTTCTGCTGTGGATTGTTCAACTAGCAGCCGTCGTCGCGTCGGTTGTCATGGCCAAGCTCAGTCGCGCCAAGCTTGACGCGACCTTCTCGCCGACGCTCATCCTTCCAGGAGCCACGAGAGCGTTCATGCACCAAAACATCAAAGTGCTCGGATGTTGGTGCCTTGACAACACCAGCGCCGTAATCAGCGGCATGCTCTACTTTTCATACCGGGAGAACACGTATGTGGCCGATGTGACGCTTTGGCTCATTCTGGACTGCGCCAAGTACGACATTCGCCACCACGGCCATGCGATTCTGTTTCCCCACTCGTTCGAGCGGTCGTTGGCGTCCAGCATCTGCAAGTACGAAAGTCGCGCTGCCATCGACGACGTCCCAGCTCGTTACGCCCGCATTCCATTCACGTCGCGCGTTTCATTCGTGCGAAAGCCAAACCGGTTGGCTATCAACCGCCTCGCAACGTCTACACGCATGGGAGAGAAAGGGATCCCTCTGTGGATGCAAAAGGTTGGTCCCGATGTTGCGATCGCCATCGGATTTGGCATGATCCTGGTGTCGCTCGTGACGAACGTGATCTACATGGTCGTGACAGCGCCCATGTCGATGGCCAATGACTATTACTGGGCACACTTTAACAGCACGGGAACACACGCGTTTCTAATTCAGTATTTCACGCGGCAACTTTTGGACGTGAACACGATCAAAGTGGCGCGGCTCGACTCGCCGGGGTATGCAGACCTCACGCACGTCTTCAACGAGTCGACGAGCGTTGTCTTGTCAGGGGGCGTCGTGCCGAGGCAACAGCTCTACGGGAGCCACGGCTCGGACTTGGCCCGAGTCATTCAAGATTTGCGAACTATGAACCCGTGCATGATGCCTTGGATGTTCACCCAGTACTGTTGGGTCGACTTCAACAAGCGGTGGGAGATGGCCAGCTCGTTGCAACGGCAGCGCCGGTGCGACGCATCCAATGGAGCCATGTACTTGGAAGGCGTGCTGCGGAATCTCCGAACTTGGCATGAGTGGACTGCGTGCTGGGGCACGTCGTTTGAGATCGGGCTGGCCCGGCCGCTGAAGACGAGTCTCAGTGGCCAACAATGGTTGCAAGATATTCAAGGCGGGTGGCGCACCGTCCCGGTCGAAGTGGCCGCGTGGACGTCGCACGCCATCACGCGGTTTACGTTGCAATGGCAAGATTATAAATCGGTCGGGTTTTCCAACTCGTTTCGAATTCAAAACACTCTGGGCGCGCAGTATGAGCTCAGCATGGCCAACCGTGCCGGCAGCATGCGTGTGCATCTGCAGTCCACGTTCAAAATGTACTGGGGATTTGCTTCCGACCTGTGGGCCGTAGCATCCAACGACACGGCTGTGTCGGGGCTCAGCCTCATTCGCGGGACCAACACATATGCCTTTGCCAATGTGTCGCGAGAGGCTCTTCTCATGGCCAACACCACCCTGCCCGCTGTTCTCACAAGTGGGCTGGCGACGTTGCGATTGTTACTCGGGCCGTTTGGCAACATCGACATGCGGTTTGAGCCGCCGGTCCCGGTGCTCAGTCAGTTCTACGAAGCTCTGATGGGAAATCTATCGAATTTAACGTTTACGCACATGGCAGCACAAAAAGCGTTCTTGGCCCTCCCGGCCAAGGTGTTCTACAGCCCGTTCCCGCCACATTTCGCCTCGAACGGTTCTGCCGTAACATTGCAGGGGGGCAACCTCCTGTGTGGAAACGATATGCCAAACTTGGTCGGGTCTCTCGAAAACCTAGGGTCGATGTACTCGGCTTTTAGCACAGAGAACTCGTGCAGCCTCGGCAACATGCAAAACGGACGCCCGGACAAGTACCAGACGTTGTTTGCCGTCGTCGGCGCCTCCTTTGTCCACAACTTCACCGACGCGTACATCGCACAAGTGTGCAGGTGGGATGCCCTACCGCAATCCAACTGCGCCGACGTGTACGCGAGCTTGTATGCGTTCGTCACAACGTTCAACCAAACGTTTGCACCGCTGCGGGAGATGGCGCTGGACACTCAATGCCAAGTGACTGCCTTGAACATTGTGTTTGTGCAGTACATCGTGAACAACTCGGTACCGTCGCTGTTCCAGGTCAACATCCTCGACCCGGCCAACGACGTGTGGCAGTTTACGGGGTGGCGCTTCCTCTACGACTGGGCGACGGGGTCCCGAGAGGTCGTGACGTTCCACGGCGACGCGGGCGCGATCACGACGCTATCGGACCAGTACGCACTGCAGTCGATGCGCCCAGACGCATCTGAGATCCCGACAGATGTATCGTTTGTACTGCTCCTCGTGTGCCAGTACGTCACGTTCCTGTTTCTGACCATGGGGGGGCTCATCGCGCTGTACACGATCATGACGAGAGGCCACATCAAAGGCGGCAATTTGCTGAAAATGAGCCGCATTGTTGGTCTCGTTTGGGCAGGCCGTGCATTCCTCTTCATCCGCAGCATCACCGCCATGATCTTCCTCAACACGGCGCGGCTCGACTTGGTGCAGCGTGGCGCGGCGACGGGGTTTGTGTCGCCACCACTCGCGTGGACCAACTTGATGCTGGCGGCGCTCGAGCTCCACTGGTTTGTGTACATCTTGAACGACATGTTTAGCTTCATCACACAGCACTACACGAAATATTACGCAAGCCATAGCGCGTGGCTCGCGTGGCTTGTGACTGTATTGTGGTCCCAATATCAACCGAACCAGCATGCCGTGCACATCCAGAGGACGTGCACCGCCGTCGACATGGACTTTGAGCTCGTCTGCGACAGCGGCGTCGTTGAAATTGGATCCATCACGCGAATGGGGGTGTCGGTGGCGGTGTGCTTTGGCAGCGTTGTGGTGTGCTACCTGTGGGAACGTCGCACGCGCCGCGAGAGCACGATCCTGGACATTCCATCGCTCATGTTGCCGTCGCAAGCCAAGTACATGTTCAACTTTGACGACTGGTCCTTCCACGACACTTATTTCATTGATAAACCGTCCGCGTTGATGGCGGGCGTGATCTCGATCGAATGGAGGGGTCGGATGTACTTGTTCGACATCAAAAAGTGGCGGCTCTTCACACTCTCGGTGCTTGTCGTGCACCCGAGTGCCCCACCTCGGTTCCAGTACGCGATCCCGATCCTGGAGTAGACTGCATCATGTTCCCGTTGTCCAACGCCGTGTTTAAAACGGCATATCGTCGACATCCATGTGGCATATGCGTCTGGTCCAGCCTTGGTTCATTTGCAAGGCGCGACGCCCTGGGCATGCTCGTGGATAATGGCCGCGACAACCGGCTCGTCATAGCTTCATGAAGCTGCCATTGCGCTTGAAAGGCCACAGGATTCGAAGCCTCCACTCGTGTCTATCGGACCGCCAAGAGCGCGTGTGGATTGATGTCACAGATTGATTCGAGTGTTGCTGACACGTTGTGGGGAACGACGTCGTGTGGGCTGTATCGTCGGACCGCTTTAGTGGATCCCATCGGCACAGACGCTCATGCAATCATCTGTAGTATTACACGTCAAACCTTTCCAGCGCTATCTTGATTAACTGTCCCCTTCACTGTATTGCGCATCGCCAGAACGACGACTGTTCTTCGGCGTTGTCTGCGACGACCGGGTCATGGCCCATGTCGATCGTGCGTGAGGAAAGGTCACTATGTCTGGTTTCCACGGCGACCGCCTCCGGCACTTGCTGCACAGCATTAGGCGTGTCAGCTCCTCGAGACCCCACAGGTGCTCGACGAGGCTTCTTCGATGCTACGTCGTCGTCTTTTGAAGCGACTGCTGGTCGCTTCTTCGTGCCGGCATTTGTTGTTTGGACGGGACTCTTGACTGTGGACGTACCCTCAGCCCCAGATGAACCACCGTTGCCGTCGGCAGGGGACCCCAGACTTTGGCGGTGTTTATTCTTTGGTGGCAGCAGCATAGCCGGCGATACAACTTGTTTTTGTCGTTTTGTGTGGCTAGAGGGTTTGGTGGCCTCGTTCAACTTTCTCGACGGTGGTGTTTTCGAAGTCGAGTTGGCTTTTGGGGTCACGTTGGTTTTGGGTGGATGGCGACCTTTGGGCGATGAACTGAATCGTGTAGTTGTTCGTCCTTTGGTCTTTGGGGTGGCTGGTGACGACTTTATCTTCGGCGCTTCGATTTCCGAGTCGGAGGATGGCGCCATCAGCTCATCGCGAATCGACTTGAGCAAATGGGGGTTCGACCGCACGTACTTTTCCACGTCATCGCGGCCGTAAAAGAAGTCTTTGCCTGGTTCGCCAGAGAACTTGGTTTTGCGGCCACTCACGACGACATGGGGTTTGCAATAGACAAATCCAAGCGGACCGTCGACGCATTTCCACCCGCGTCCAGTCAAAATGTTGTCGATCTCGCCAAATCGAATGTCAACCACGTCGCGTTGGGACCGTGCCGACGGTTCGGTGGACTGCCGCGTTGGCTTTACCACACCTGAGTAGGACAAGCGTTTCTTAGGCTTCGCTGGCGTTGGAGTGAGCGTCCCTTCGTTGTTCAAGTTGCCACTCTCAACCTCACGGCGAACGAGATTCATGAGCTCAGGCGTGGTGCGAACGTGCTCTTCAAACGATTCAAGGCTATCAAAGTAGTCGGCTCCGTTGACACCAGACAGCTTGCCCGTGGCCTTGATCAACTTAACATGCGGTGTGCAGTACGCGCCGCCAAACAAGTCTCCTTCAATGTATTTCCAACCGTTCCGCCTCAGTGCCTTCTCGATTTGGCGCCGACTGATGTCATCATCCAGCTGTGCGCCATGGGAAGCGACTAGAAGCTTTGGCGGTGGCGTCGTTTTGGCAACGCGCCGTGTAGTCGTAGGTGAGTCTGGAATCTCGATCACTTCGCTCAATTGGCGCGCCTTTGCCGCCATATTGTTGTCGAAATGGCGATGGTGGTTTGAATTGCGGGGGAATTTATGCAAGCACCAAGTACACTTCGGTTAAGTACGTCAAGATATTGGGTTTCATTTACTTCTGCAGTAAATCCAACGATAGGTGCGCGCACTTAAAAGGAATGTCATGTGCTGGAGTTTCAAATTGGAGAGCCACCACATCTTCGAAGTGATACGGACGCCGCCCCTCAGGACAACGACAGCTTGCGGACGAGGAGTTCAATTCAAGGAAGTCAAAAATTTGAAGGCCTGTTGTAGACACAGAGGACCAGCCTGCACAATACCTGGTTCCGACTGAGTCCAGCCACTGGAGGCGAAATTTGTATATTTCGATTGGTTATAAATCATGAATTTCAGCCAATCTGTGACGACAACCTTACTGTGGTTTGTGGTTCCATTCAAACCTCAGAAGAACTGCGGTCTGGTGCACAAGCGCTGCCACCCGTGAACGTCGACGGCAGCATGGTAGGTTTCTGCGTCGTACCGCTCATTGTTTTGCAAGCATGAGGGCAAAGCTTTACCTAGGACCCTGCACAAGAGGAGTTAGATCAATCCGCGCTCCAAGCCGAGATGCACCAAGCACAACCTCCGTTCGACGAGCAACAACCACCAGCAAACATTTACTCCTCCGGCGGTCCTCCGTCTTCGTACCTACCGCCTGACAGAAGCCGCAGCCCGTACCGCGGAGGTGGTCGAAATCGGTCCAGATCGCGAAGCCCTCCCCGTCGACGTTCGCGCAGTCCTCCTTTCAGAGGTCGCAGGAGATCCTTTGAGCGCGACGACCGTTTCCGCGGTAATGGAGGTGCAAACCAGTATCCACCTCGAGTCGAAACCGAAGTATTGGAATCGTACAAGGCGTTCATGATGCGCCAAGAAGACAACGTAGCACCAGAAGTGTGCTTGCAGCGGTAAGTGTTGCATAAAACATCGTTCCGTGCACACACAGCCAAATTCTTATCCATGTACAGCTACGAAGACTACAAGAAGCGTGTGCTGGTGAAATCGAGTCGGTCCTTTTTCGACCAACACAAGATGGAGGAGTGGCTGCAAGAACGGTATTCCCCAGCCATTCGCCATCGCCACCAGCAAAAGAAGCTCGCAAAGAAACGCGTGGACGTCAAAGCATTCGCCGAGCGTGTCAAGACGACTACGCTATCTTTTGACGAAGCAGCATGGATGGGCTCCACGAGTGACGATCCTGTTGCGTCTGTTGTGTCCGCAGGGCCGGTCTTGGCGAACGACATGGACGACAGCGCGCGATTGCTGTATATTCGCCGTATTCCATGCTCTTGTCCATTCTCGGTCATCTCTGAAGCGATCCACAACCAAGTGCGACCTTCTAAACCTTTTCTACACATGATTAATTGAATGGCTAGGGGCCGTTTGACGAGCTGTTGCTATCCGATCCATTGAAGAAGAGAGATATGGACTTCGAGCGGTCAGCGTACATTTTGTACCCCACGGCCGCCGCCGCCACCGCGGCCATGCCAAAGCTGCAGAACTTGCTCGTCGAAGCGCCGGAAATGCCTCATCCACTTCGCCTCCAGGTAGTTGCATCGTTCTTCGACCGTCAATTCACATGGAGATGCATTGCGTAGGTCATGATCTATCGTGCCCGCGCGCCACTCAAGACACCTTCATACATGTCTCTACCCGACCGCATCACGTACGACTTCCACCAAGCGCTCCACGTGGCGACCCTCCTGGACAAGCAGTCGTTCGACGATCCATCGCTGGGTATTGAACCGATCTTGAATGACGTGGACGCTACGAAGTCGGACCGCGACCGCCTCGACATTGTCGTTGCGTACCTCCGCCGTGTGCACCATTTTATTTATTATGCCGGTGTGCAGTGCTTGGACATGGGCGACGTCATGCACGCGTACCCAGCCGTGTTCGTCCGCCCTGCCGCCACCGAGCGTGACATTGAAGACGACAAGGTAACGTGTCTCGTCCGGTGGATTTTATTTTGTGGCAACAAGAGTGATGCTATCTCCATATCCATTGACGGTGCTACAGTTGCTTCATGGGCGTGAGATCGTATATTTAGCGAAGAATTTGGCGCTGTGAAATTTCCTGTGACGTGCTTGAGACTGTTCGGATAAGGTTGCGGTGGAAACTCATGCAGATTGCTGAAATAGACGGTGACCCATAAGGTGTTTTCCCCGACGCCGTCGACAGAGACGAGCGGCGCGGGGTGGGGCGCCTGGTCCGTCTCGCTGGACGAGAAGATCGAAGCGTTCATAAAAGCGAATGCCCCAAGCGTGGTGGAAGCCAAGCGCGTGGCGGAACTTGCGATGGTCCAAGATATTGAAACGCGAGAGGAAGTGGCTCTGGAACCAGTTTACAATTCGTACACGGAGAAGGCGGGCGACGACGGCAAACACCGGTGCTTGCTCTGCACCAAGCTATTCAAGAGCCTGGAATTTGTAAAGAAGCACATTCGAAACAAGCACCCTGAGCTTGTGGTCGAAAAGATTGTGAGTGCGGGCGAATCATGCATGTGGGACCAATACCGGGAAGACCCGGACCGACCGATGGATCCCGTGGCAACGACCAACCAGCCAATCTTGCGCCAGTCTTCTGGCTACGACCAAAGGAACCGTGACAGCTATGGCCGGGGAGGTACTTTGTTCCCCATCCTGTTGCCAGCAATCCATTACGCGTTGAGTAGGAGGAGGTGGCTACCGTCATCCGTACTACGACGGCGGCCCGAGGGGCGGTGGTTACCGGGGGGGTCGCGGCGGAGGCTACAACACCGGTCCACCTACCCCCAACTATCCTCGACGATACGACTCGAACCCTCGTCCTCCCCAGAGCCGCCCCTTGCCTGTGGATCCCCGGCAAGTATCGACTTCGTACCAAGACCTGGACTCGATTCATACCCCTGCGGTCAAGTTGGATTTCCAGGACGCTCTGGGCAGTCTTCCACCGCCGAAGAAGCTGAAAAAAGCAGACGAGGCTGCGCAGAATGACGCATGATCGAACGAGCGCGTGGACGTTGCGTTGGTCGCGTGTAGTATTGTTTAAACCTGAAGGGTTCTCAATGCAATTTGACATATTCGTCGAGCTGTTTGTCGCGGCGCATGGTCGCGGCCAAGAACTGCCCGACCACACGCAGGTAAAAAAACTGGAACACGATTGTCTGGTTGTAGAAAAAGTTGGCGTTTCCGGATCCCGGGTACAACCAAAGGAAACCCATCACGGGCATGAGGACACTCGCCACGACTAGTCCCGTCGCCAGCACAAACTTGTTGTTCATGCCTACGCAGCGCAACCAACGTTCAACTGCCCCCTCACGCACGTGCCTTGTTCATGCAAACGTACCAATGATTGAGCTCGGGTGAATGATGAAGAATGTCATGACAAATCCAATATCTCCCATCGCCGGGTACGGCTGGAAGAGAGATACGAGGGCAAGCAGGATGGTCGCATACACCAGCGGTCGCGAGCTACGCGGTGGTCAAGAGGATGCGCGATGAAAAGTGGACCGTTGTCGTACCGCAGGCGGATATAGAGCGGCGCAATGTACACATACGGATGCACGTGGAGCAAAAACAAAAAGTATGGCTGGAAGCGGTCGAACAATTCCATGAAGAAGTACCAGAAGATGCCGATGTTCGGCGTCAAGTCGGGATAGCGATGCAGCCAAACATAAGTCGACTCGACAAAGCTCCAGCTGCGACCCATAAACACGTACGAGAGACCGGTAAGGCCTCCGAGACAGCTTGCAAACAGCACCAAAGAGAACGCGACTCGTGGCAGAGGCAAGTACATCGATGTCTAGAGTCACCGTCGCATCAGAGGGCTCTGAAAGGTCATATTTGAACTTACACTTATCGAAGGACGCGACATGGACGAGCGCGCGTGATGGACGAGTAGAAGCACGGGAACTGACAACACCACGGGGTACACGCTCAAGTAGGTAGCGATCGACAAGAGCAGGATCGCTGGCACAAGAAAACCTGCAAAACATTTTGTCAAGATGACTATATTGTAAAGAATAGTGACTTGCACCTTGCATCGCAAACGACAAGCTCCACACGATGGATGCAGAGGTGAACAGAGTGGTCGACAACGCGAGCGACCCAATCACAGAGTACGGATTGAAGAGGAACATCGCCGCTGTCGTCGCTGGCAAGTTCTCGGGGGTGAGAAGTGGCGACACGGGAGGATGGTTGAGCCAAATCTTGCTGCGCTCACACTGTTGTTCTTGTTGGCTCGACAGGAACGCACGACAGAGCGACGCAAACCCTAGTGCAATGAGCACATCGACGGCAATCGTACACCCAATCCAACACACCCTCAGCGATGTGTTGAACGCAGTGAACGATTCGAGCAAGTTGTAGAGTGCAAGCACCAGTGGGGGCTGATGGAACGAATCACCAGCATACGGGGCATTACAAGCTTTGTACAAGAAGTGCCCTTCTTGAAGTCTCTGGTACGAGTTCAGTGGAGTCACATACTCAAGACGGTCTTGAGTGAACGCATCCAGACCTGTCACAAACAGGCCTACTCGCAGCGCAGCGCCTGCGGCTACCGACGCTGCAACTTTGCCGGACGTCATAATCGCAAATTTCGAGATCATCAAAGTATGGGGCATTGGAGTTGTTTGATTGGCAAATAATGACCACTTTTTGTTCAATGAAACCGAACTATTCCCTCAATTACAGATTGCACCACAACGGGGGAGGAATCAAGTGCACCAAGAAACCTTCCATCGACTAAAGCAGAATGGCGGGAGAGTAGCGCGTGTTTTCCAGATCCATAGTCGTATGTGCCAACTCATTTAGTGGACCGGGGACGGAGCACGAATTTGGGCTCGATCCAGACAGCGAGGATAGCCCCCAACATGCAAACTCCAAGACCCACTGCTGTCCTCTGTGTTCAATCAACACTAGATTTTTAGGAATCGCAACGACTACGACGTCGCGCCACATTCAACCCCGATATACACGCAATGTCAAACATGTATTGAACGTTAAGGTTGTCGGTAGAGCTACCGCCGGAAGAGTTCTCTCCGACAGCAGCTCCAGTTCCAACTCACGTTTGAGCTTACCTCGTGGTGGACAAGGCATTTCACTTCCAAACCTCAGCAACGAGCCCAATACACCTCAATCACAACTCTACAAAAAGTGAGATCTAGGAGATGGTACCTCAGTCGACGTCGGCTGCATCGTTTGACGCCTTCATCAACGGCTCAACCAGCGGAAGTAGCATCAAGCAACAACGGAAGGCAGCCAGCACCAAGAGGGCGCCACAGGGGGATACGAAACAAGGCAAGAGACTGCGCCGCCGGAGGGCCACTGGTGATAGCGATTTTCATTTTATGACATCCCACACGGTTTGTTTTAACTCCGGATGGTACGGCTCAACTTTCAGACGCACTATAGGTCCTTGGGGAACAACCTATCAGTGCACATCAATTTAGTACCGTTCACGGCTTCGGCGTTCGTAGTCGCGGCCTCCACCACGGCGGTCGTCATAACGGTCGCCACCACGTCGGTCGTCGTAGCGGTCACCACCACGGCGATCATCATATCGGTCGCCGTAACGGCGGTCGTCGTAGCGGTCTCCTCCGCCACCGTGCGAGAATTTGCACGAGTCGCCACGGTGGCATCGTCCTTGCTTGAAATCGTAGCACTCACCAGCGCTGCGGCTGTCGCGGGGGCGACGTTCTTCGTAGATACCACCCGTCACGTCTTCCGCACGGTTCTTTCCCTTTTGTTCATCGAATCGAACTTCAAATTCGATGCGGTCGCCTTCACGGAGGCAGTTGCCGTCCTTGATCGACGAAAAGTGGCAAAACACATCTTCAGATCCATCGTCGGGCTTGATGAATCCGAACCCCTTTTCGTTCCAGCGGGCAGCAATACCCGTCTTACGCTTGGAGTTACCTTGGTCACGGTCTGGGCTGCGGCTACGGCTGCGGTCGTTGCGGCGGGGGCTGTCGTCGCGGCGAGGAGAGGGGCTGCGGCTTCCCGGCATTGTGTGGTAGGACGGGTTCTTTCGAAAGTGACGGGTAATAAATCGAACCCCCTCAACAACCGCCGCACACCACTCACAGTATCCGGATATCTTTATCACCAACGCCATATCCGGATAGATCGCTCAATAATCTTGGAAATTACGTGATCTAATTGGTCGAAATCTTGCGAATGATTATTTTTATGTGAAAGGTTATCTTGATTTCAGTAAAACAACCAATTAGTTTTAATATGGTGTTGGCCGATTTTGGCGCGCACAGTTCGATTGTATCAATTGAGCATACCACGATTTCTCCCGCGATGGCGACGCGCCCTGTGCTCTTGACACAAGCCCTACTGGACGCTGGCAAGATTCCCCATGGAAGCCAAGTACGATGGTTAGGTTTGGTCCGTGACGTTGGCCAACCTCAGCTGATGGTTGACCCGGCCGATGAGTCTGCCTACATTGAAACTACGTCCCACCGATGCGAGGTCATTCCAGGTCATGCTGCGTGGCTGCACGAAAAACACGCTTTGGTGCCATCAGTTCCGGCAAGCACGCTGTCGATTGAAAGAATGGCAGGAACAAGCGTACTTGGCAAGAAGAAAAGACATGACCTAGATAACGACGTTCAAGATGATCCACGACCTCGACCGGCTGCTGTCAAGGACAAAACTGCCACCACAATTAATTTCGCAAAGCCAACTTTTCAAGTCATGGTGCGGGCATATCAAGGAGTTCAGTACAAAGTGAACCATTTGTATGAATTCGTTGGCGAACTCGACCTCACCCCTCAAGCTCTCGACGACTTGGAGATGGAATGGCAAGGTGAAGATGCAACGGCATCCAAAGACAATGCAAAACTCTTGGAATTTATCCCAACGTTGCATGTAAAAGGTATTTCACACTTTGTCGTGTTCACTTACTCATCAAATATTCCAGATGCATCGGAACGTGATTACTTCGGGTATGCTATGAGCCATTGTGGCCTCGGTGAATCATTTCCAGGGGATGGCAAGAACAACGTGCGGATTGAATGGTGTTTGCAGCAATGGAAGGCATTGGGTTACCCTTTCAGTGTGGAAGAAATGCGCCAGAGTATCGTCGATTACTTGGCAACTTTCCTTCAAGGCGACGTGATCGCGGCCGATTTCATCTTGTTGTGCCTTTTATCCCGTGTCTATCAACGTTCACAAGCGACAACTCCTTTTGGCCACTTCGCCGTGAACTTGATGTTTCCCAATGCGAATTCAGCTGCCGTTGCCTCAGCGTGTGCCCAACTCGTCAAAGCAATTCATGGCATTGTCCCGATCGCAACTACACTGAATCTCACGCTGGAATCGCTGAACAGTGCTTCTTTTTTTCCCCGAAAGGTTTGCGATTCCACATAGATCTTACGGTTCACAATTTGCTAGGATTACACCATTGACTACTTGCATTCTGGATTGCTTCAATTGCCAGAAGGTTCTGCAGTCGTTGTGGATGAATCGAACATGATCACCGGTCAGGTACGATGTAACAGTACCCACAGCTACGGAATGTCGATCGGTGACTGCTTGTAGTTGAGCGACAGAGGGACGCGAAACATCCAATCTCTTATGAGCTTGGTTGAGAACCAAACGCTGACGTATGATTTTCAGTTTTACCACACTGAATTTCAGCAAGACGTGAAGTTCATCACACTGTCGAAGTCCAAGGTCACATCGTCGCTTCGTCTCGAGTAGTATTCAATTTCAAGATGCTCTCTGTAGTCGATACTTCCCACTGCTGTACACATTCGCCACGAAGGCAAGCAAGGTAATACGTCATCAAGCATTGCTTCAGAGGTATGTCTGGTTAATAGCTCGTTTGGCACACTCACGGAACTTGTGTAGGATCTATTGCAATGTTTTCGGTTGTACATTGCGGTGTTTCGAAGCTTGGACGTCGAGTTGGGCAATGACGGCGCTCAGACTGCAGAGCAGTGGTATGTCGAGGAGCGTAAAGTCGACAAATCCATCCGGGTACCGAGCAGTATTGTGCTATCGGTGTATTCAAGGGCGAATCCTTGATATCGTAGGCCGATGATCTCCACCGTTTGGTTCGAGTTGCTCGGTTGGTGGCTCTTAGTTTTGGGACGTCCGTCGTCACAAGTGATGCCTGGCGTCATGCACTCGAGTTGGACAAGACTTGCCAACAGCGTGGACGATCTTAATCTAATTTCGATTACATGATATCTTTGCACGGTATTTACAATCACGCTGACGCTGGCGACCATTTTTGAATGACAATCACGAGGAATTCTCGTTCTACAAACACCACGACAAAATCGTGATCCACGTGGTTCCCAGGACTTGTCGTCATACCGTGAGCAACTAGGATCTCAAACTTCTTGAGTCGTATGCGTAGGTACTGCAGATCATTCTACGCATCGTGCCATTATGTGATGGCGGTCAAGATATGCTAGCAGGATGTGTTGCACCTTGGGGTTTAAGTCGCGTACAACTCCACGCGCCTTCGTCGTGAGTTCCTTCATGTACGTCGAGTATCGCTCAGCATTCGCTGGGTCCATGTGAGGATGACGGCGGAGAACAGATCCATTCTTGTCGGCAATCACATAGCCTTCAACGCCCTTGTGGTTCTTGATGCGCTCCAGCGTCTCTTCGACCTCAGACATACTTGTCGACTCGCAAAGTGACCGTTCGCGGGATCGACGTTTTTCGTTTTTTCCGCATAGCCCATGAGTATCCGAACACATGGCTCACACGAAGATTTAGTGTGAACACTAAATGCATTCATATTCGTTCGTTTGTACAAGCCAATCAAAACTTCACAACATTGTTTCAGCCAATCCGTACCAACTCAACATTGGTTTCAATCGCGGGAGTTGCAATTGCAGGAAGTCAGAGCTAGACACACCATATCGAAATCATACTTACCTGACTGGTGCTCGACCGTGATCAACAAGGCGGTTGACATGAGCCGGAGCAGGCCTTCACGCACTCCGGTGCTGTAATGGCT